AAATAAGCTTACTGTTTCTTCAAGAATCCAGTCCTGATCAATCTTTTGTAAAATCTCGACTAATCCTCTAGTACCCGTCTCGAATTCTGCTCCTCCGAATACCTGCTGTCCTCGCTAATCTGCTGTCCGATCGAAGCTTCTTCTCTTCCAATCTCGGCTGCTGATTCTATATCGACACCTGCTGTCCCTTTTCTATTCTTCTAAATCGACAGCTTCTGTCTTTCTGCTCTCGGCTTTTAATCCAAATCGAGCAGCCCCTTTTCTTCTCGGCTGCTGCTTGCTTCCTAATCGAACAGCCCCCTTTCGATCGACAGCCTCCCTGCTCGATTTCTTTCTCCCGGCTGCTACCTTCTCCAATCGAACAGTCCTTGTATATTGTCCCCTTCTCTCTCGAGACCTGCTGTATTCTTCTTCACTGCTCGATGACCTGCTGTTGCCGACAGCTTTCTTCCCTAGCAAAACAGCCCCCTTCGATAGACTGCCTTCAATCGACAGCCTTTTGCTTCCAATTTTTCCACCGACTGCTGCTTGCTGTCCCGCTTAGTTCACAGCCTCCTTCGATTGATTCCTCCCTCAATCTCTCGCGACAGCCCCTATATGCTGTGCCTCCCTCGGTTGCTTCTGTACCGACAGCCCCCTTCGATAGCTTTTTCTCGCCCATGATCTCCTGCTCTCGCTGCCCACGATCTCCTGCTGCACTACCTCTTTCTCGCTGCCCACGATGTCTCTCTCGACTTCTGATTTGGGCAGCAGCCTTGGGCTGCTGTTGTGGGCTGTTTCTCTTCTTCCTTGATGGCTTGGGCTGCTGGCTTGGGTAAGAAAACTTGGGCTGCTGTTATGGGCCAAAAAACATATAAGTAACACATTTTTTTCTCAACTTTAATGGCCTCATATAGTTAAATATCATCTTACATAAAAATGGCCGTTTTAAGCATCTATATGACATTAATCTCAAGGTAATTTTGACGTAAAAATGTATAAAATTTGCACTTATCAATGGCTTAATATTCTGCTCAATTTAGAGTGTAGTCACGTGACTTGTTCTGATTATATTCAGTTAAACTTGTTTACTGTTTTGTAGGACGGAATGCTAAAGAACAAAAGCACATATGAAATAATGTCTCCCGAAGATATTGGACTTCAACGATCCGATGAATCTGGATTGACACTTGGAAAACTTAGGTGTGCTGAATTACATGCAGTCCGATTAAAGCCTCGATATAAATCGTGTAGCTACTTCTTTATCCAAGATTAATTATGTTTTGTTTATCGAGTATTCTAATGATTTTCAAATAATATTGTGCAGTGGACGCCATGCTTTAAAAGCTAAACTTACTGAGGTGAGTATGCAATGTTGAAGTCATCAATTTGTAAATGAAGTAAGCGACACCTTTGTTCATATCCCTTAACCACGTATTTGTTCCATTTTCTCTTTAAGCTTGGTCACAACATTGATGGAAAGGAACTCAATGATATCTTTTGGCGTTTTAAATCCATAGCTGAAACGAAAAAGGTAACAAAAACTTTCATGTTCATGGAAACGGGTGTGTGGATCTGGTGAGATCAAACTTTTTTTGTGAGATCCGAGACCACATAAATAACACTGAAACTTCACAACAAAACACTATAAAGGTACAAAAAATATTGAACCTCCACAATGTTTTGCTAAAAGTTTCAATGTTATTTTGTGGTCTCATATGTCTCATTAAAACATGTTGGTCTCATATGAACCCAATCACTTATGTACATCTATGTAAGAATTGTGTCCACTAATTGTCTCATTTGTGTCCCAGGTTGTTACCGATGATGACGTAATAGCGTTGGTATTAAACTGAAATATGGGTACCAAACCATATTGCTCGCACGTATTTGTTGGTGTTAATGGGAAGAGAAGGAGATCAAGTGTTGCAAACTGAGTATTACAATGGAAGGGTAAGCATTCAAAGTGTGGGGGATAATCCTATATCTCATTATGTGTGTATTTATTAATTGGTTTGTAATAATTAAGGTTTTCGAGTGTTGCCAACACAATTTAAATTTCTACGCAAGTGTGCTTGTAATTGTAATTTGATACGAGTTCCTCGATCAAGATGATTTGTCATAGGATTATAGGTTAAACGTTTTGTGCCGAACGTAAAATATCATTTTATTTGTATGTCGCATGGTCTGTATCTATGAAATAATCACTTGTCGTATAAATAAAATATTGTTTAGATTGCATTTTTTGTGCCTTGTTCTCCACACACACACACACATATATATATATAGGGTATATTTCAAATGCAACCATGTCCATTTATACAACCAATGCAACTCAATTAATTGGTATATATATGGAGCGTTCAAATAAAAACCACTCAATTTGTAAAAACCGTGAAAACCTTATTCAACCAATCATAATTTTTTATTTTGTTCATTTTTTTGTAATTATGAGAGGTTGATTAACCATTTTTATTGTGGATGGTGTTAATCATGGATATTATCAACTTCATTATTTTAATTTTAGAAAAATACATAAAACTGTTTCATTAAAATTTCATTAAGTAGTATATGAAACAATTTCATAACCATATATGAAACAACTTCATCAAAAAAAAATAGTATATGAAACAATTTCATAATATTAAACAATTTCATGAAAAAATTTCATAAGATTACGACGGATGAGAGTAGTTTTTACGGTTTTTACAAATTGGAGTGGTTTTCATTTGATTGCT